AACCCCCTGCAGGTGATCGGCCTCCTGCCCAGGCACAGGGCAGGTGGTCCACCGGCCCGGAGCCTCCTGGGGCGGAGGTGAGGAGGCACCAGGCGGGGCTGAAGGCCAGGGTCTCCCTCTCAGCAATAACAGCAAGACTGACCAAGTGTTTATTCAACAGGCACTTGGGGAGCCCCGCACACAGGCACCGGCTCGGCTGGGGGCCGGCGGGGAAGGGGCACAAGGTGGCTGCCACACTGGTCTCCTTGGGTCGCAGCAGCCTCAGCGGATGCAGCCCAGGAACCCAGGTGAGTGTGGCGCCCAGGCCACAGGGAGCTGCTGCCTCTGGGTCCTTCCCACTGGTCCTCCCACCTGGGCAGGTCCTCAGCCGCTCTCCCTCCCCCTGCGGCCCTTTGCCTTATTCCACAAATGCTTCCCACGTCCTGTGTCATTATTGCTAAGTCCCCAGAGCAAAGACGGGCTGCCAAGGATGTGGGGAAGGAAAAAGTGGTCCGTGAATGCAGGTTCCTAGGCCTGGTTCCAGGCCCCAGTTCAGCCTGGGGCGGGGGGCACCTGGAATCAGCGTTTTAAACCAGGGCGGTTCCTTTTCATCTTCAAGCTTGAGAGGCCTGGTCTGGGCTTCCGGAAGGGCCAGCTGCCCCGGCTTTCCAAGCCCATGGGAACCAGGAGTTGCCGCCCCAAGAGAAGGGGGAGACCCCACGAGGCCTGGCGGTGAGCAGGAGACATCACTGGGACCCGGCCACCTCGCATGGAGCCCCATGTGACCAGACTCCAGGGAGCCAGGAGGCCCGAGGCAGGGGGCTCGCTGGTGGGGGCAGGGTCCCAGCTGCGGAGCACTGAGTCCGGCTCAAGTGGCCCAGAGAAGGCGCAGGACTCCCCTAAGCTCACCCAGCGCCTGGCTCACTCCCATCTGTGGCACCGTCGGAAGTGTAACTTCGCACAAGTTACCCAACCTCTTCGGCCTCTGTCTTTGGCTATAAAATGGGGGTGCTAGTGGCACCTTCTTCTGAGATGTGGGAGTGAACTTAGGCGGGGCCACGCAGGCCTTGGCACACAGTAGGTGCTCAGGAAGGACTCCCGAGTGCAGTGTCACGCTGGGAGCTGTACCAGCCTCCCCCTTGCTCCACACCTCCCTTCGGTGGCACCCGGGGCTCACGCTGTGGCGTGGAGTGGGGATGCAAGGCAAGAAGGGACTTGCCCAGGCCACGCGGTCCACCCACTGCCAGCTGACACGCTGCCTCGTCCCCAACCTGCTTCCTCGCCCCCGACCCCTGGATGCCCGCCAGTCCCCTGGCCACGTCCTCCGCTCTCCACGCGCGCTCCGCAAAGGTGGGCAGGGTCCTTCCGTTCGCCCCCGGGGAGCTGTCGACCCGCAGCCAACGGGCTTACCCGACACTTGGCAGCAGAAGGCTGGCTGCAGGCGAGGGTTGCCCCCTGCAGGCTGCGGCGCCCCGACTCGCCGCCACCCCTTCGGTCCGCGGCCGTTCCGTGTGTCCGTGCACGCGGGTGTGGTGGGCGCGAGCGTGCGCGGACACAGGCGTGCACGGACACCGCGGACTCGGCACACGTGGGCGCGTGCGCACCCGTACATGCACACACGGGCACACACGTGCACACCCATGCACGCACCTACGCACGCACGGCACCCACACGCGTCTCCCGTGGCCCGTGCGGTTCATCCGAGGGGCGCCCCAGACCGCATGCACTCGCAGCACACGCGGGTCCGCCCGGGGAGGCCCGCCCGCCGCCGTGGGGAAGCTCCGCGTCACCGCCAGGGCATGGGCCTCGGCGTGCGTGAAAAAGGCAGGCGGGCACAGCAGCAACCCACCGTCAGCACTGCGGGGACGGCCAGCACCCGAAGCGTCGGGTTTAAATCTTAAAACCCTGAGGAAAGCGGGACGGGAGAGGCGGAGACCCGTCCCGCAAAGTATTGACCCTCTCCGGGGCTTGAACCCGCGGTCCCGGGACGGCGCCGGGCATGCGCAAAAATCGAGAGGGGGCGGGTGCGGAGGCCGAGGCGGGCGTTGTCGAAGTGCCCCAGGGCGCCCAGCACCCACAGTTCCAAGCGCCGAGACGCGTCCGGAAGCCCGAGGAGCCCGTCTTCTTTCCTCGTCCTCTGATTCGCTACAAACCACTTCTATTTCCGCAAAAAGATACGAGCCATTTCCCGGCCGTCCGTGAGGCATGTTGCTGTTTTGTTTCCGGGGGAATCGAGTTTGCTGAAGGACTCTGAGGACTTCCGGGTGCTCCTCTCAGCTTCTCATTGGCCGGATTTATGAATATATTAGAGCATGAAAAAGAGAGAGTTTCTCACACGCTGTAATCAAAATATAAGTGCTTGAGGGTGGGTAGCGAGGTTCTTGAAGAGCGCGGATGCTTCCGCTTGTGTGTCTGAGACACGCACGGGAGTCACCCTAATGTTAAGATGAGGCGTGATCGGCACTTTAAATGGTCGGCGGGCGAAGCCCAGACTTGTGTTGTATGAAAGGAGAGAAGGTTAGCACTCCCCTTGACAAGGATGGAAGAGGCCCTCGGGCCTAACAACACGCATACGGTTAAGGCATTGCCACCTACTTCGTGGCATCTAACCACTGTTTTTTTTTGTTGTTGTTGCATTTTTTCCGCGCCCCGCAGGGGCGCAGTTCTCGTAGTGCCAGAACTCGGGGCGCGAAACGCGCGTGCGCCCGCCGTGTGCGCGCCGCACAGGCTCGTGCGCGACGTTCTCTGCTTCGGGAGCTGCTGGGCACGTTCCTACCACGTAGTTACCTGTGCCCGCCTGCGTTGGCGCCTGCGCACCTGGGCCAGGTGTGTCTCGTCCTCCCCCCACAAGGCCGTCCTCGGAACCGCCCTACATCCGGCGCCCGAACTGCGTCCAGAGGCGGGACTGTCGGTCCTGGGTCTTCACCGCTCCTCCCCACCTGGACCCCTGGCTGACTGCGGCGTCGCGGCGTCCCGGGTCGGGGGCGTTTGAGTTCTTTGAACTGCTTGGCGACAATGGCCCGGGAGGGCCTGGGGCAAGCGCGCCACTCACTGGCCGAGATGGGGTTTACCTCCCCGCGGTTTCTGCTCCCCACTCCCACTCCTGCCTGCACGCAGGGTCGCGGGCGGGGGAGGCTAGGGTCTCCGCGAGGGCCCCGCGCGACCCGGCGCGGGCGCCCCTGTGGGCCTCCCTGCTGACCCCGGGCGCCTGGAGGTGCGCGCTCACCCTGTCCCCCAGGCCGGCACGGAGTGCAAGGCTGTCCTCACAGGCCAAAGAGCAGGGAAGGATGGGGGCAACCCGGAGGGTCGGCGGGGCGTTTCCCCGCTTCCTGTCCGGGGCGCACACTGCGGAGGTTTGAATGTAGCGCTCGGTTAAGGGCTTAGGACGATGTTTATCAAGTTAAACAAAGCCAACCTGATGGAAGACGCCACTGTTCGAAAAAGCATCCAGTACCATCTGCGAGCTTCTGGCCGAACCCGAGCGGGGCCCGCAGGTGCAACCCCCAGGTGCAGCCCCGGCCCGCAGACGCAGGGGAGGGAGGCCTGGAGCGGGATGCTGGACGCCCACCGGCCGAGTGCAGTTTAAACCCACCCTGCGGTTGGGGACATGTGTGTGCACGTGTATACATATTGAATACACGTGAACACACTTTTTAAAAGATACTAGGACAACTGGGGAAATCCGGATATCGAATATTTCATTAATATTTCAGGTGTGACTATGGAATTGTGGTCATGAGTGTTTTTGAAGAAGCTTCTTTTACAGATAAAACGCACTCACTGCTTAACCTGTGTACCTTGGGCCAAGTACGAGCCCCGAGAAGCCCCGGGGAGGCCTGCGAGTCGGTCTTAGAAACTCAGGGACCAGTAGCCACGTGGGAGGCTCTGGCCTGGAAACCTCCCAGCAGCTCGCGGGGACGGTCGCGCACGTCCCAGGAGCATCATCCCGAGGTCGACCTTTACCTGAGCCCGTTTTATTTTTGCATCTGCGGTGCACACACCTTTGTAATGTCAAAGTAATTACTTTTTCCGAACCCCTCGAAGTACCGCCACCACCGGAGACCACAAATCCTCATTGTTGTTACATCGGTAGTTTTATTTTCCCAGGCCCACAGGTTCCCCCCCCCCCCCGCCATCGAGCCCCCCTCATCCACCACCCGTGGGCTTCACCGAACCCCCGACTCCCCTTTTGATTCTGGCGCATAAAATCAGCCGCAAAGCTGCCCTTTTCTAGAGCGTGTCCTCGGTCCGCTGGGATTTTGCTTCCTGGCTATTGTCATTTTTGTGTAAACAAACTCATTAAAAAATTCATGCAGGTTTGGATGTTTCTTAACTTGACAAATAATGTCTGGGGTTCATACTAAGTAACAAGGAAGGGCAGTAAGTCAGCTGCGTCTCTGAAGCTGGGTGACGGGGGCACGAGGGTTTCTCCCCTTCGTATTTTAAATCTTCCGTAATAAAAAGCTTTCACTTTAGTCAACGTACTAGATGTTCCCTGAGATGGTCTTAGGAATCTGGGCGATTCCTTCTCTTTACCTATTTCTTTTATACTGCGGATAAAAAGGTATCACCCACAATACTCAAGGCTATTTAAAATTAAAAACAAAACCAAACAAAAAAACATGGCCTTTCACCAGAGCGCCCCAGCGGGGAAAGGTCTGAGTTGGGCCCCCCCCCCCCCCCCCCCGCAACAGCTACACGTTAAGGTAAAACGTTCTTATAGGACAGAAATACAAGACATGAAAATCTTTATTTCCAAAAAAGAGAATGTATTTTTACATAAATCTACAACAGAATTCCAATGTAGAAAAAATACACTATATTCAAGGGTACGGCGCTGCGCACACACCCTCCACCCGGGGCCCACGGACATCGGCACCAAGAAAACCGAGGGGACCTCGACATCCCTCAGGCGGCCCCGAAGCCAAGCCCCCAGGACACTGACAGAGACCTCAGCTCTCTATCAACCCGTGGGGAGTGCGGGTCCCAGCCTGAGTGCTGGCCCCCTCCGGCCGCCGCCTGCCGCCCGCGGGCGACCCTGCGGCACCTGCCCCGCGGGGAGTGGGTCCCAGAGGCCTTCGGGACTGCCATGCTCCCCTGCGACAGCGGCCAGAGGGCCCCAGGAAACTGGTCTGAGGGCAGCCCCCACTGCCCTGCCCACCCGTCCAACAGGGGGCCAGAGGCTTTGCCTACCACCTGGTGCCGTTCAGAACCCAGAGCCGGGGCTCGAGGCTGTGCCTCCCCCAGAGGCCTGGGAGCTGGCAGACGGGGCGCGCACCCCAGGGGAGCCCTCGCTCCACACGAGGGCCCCCGGGGGCTGGCACCAGCCACACACCACGGTGCCCTGCGGTCCCAGCCCCGTGCCCACCACTGCAGACCAGGACGGTGCCCCCAGCAACCTGTGTGGCGCGGCCCACAGACTGCCAGGGACCCCAACAGGCCTGCCGGGCCTCAGGCGGCCGCCAGCCTGTACCCCACAGGCCGGAGCCTGAGCCGGGAACGAGGCCCCAAGGCCCGGTCCCCTGGCCGCCCCAGAGCACCTGCACCATCCAGGAGAGTGTTTCAGGGCCCGCAGCTCCGTTTCAGTGATGACCCCCCCAGCCCCCGCCCGAGAGCACGTCCCCAGCAGCTCCAGGCTTCTGGAGGACAAGGGCAGAACGCCGCGTCCCTGGGGGAACCTGTCCTTGACGAAGTCCTTCCACATCCTGCCAACCAGGAGACTGTCACACAAAAGCAGTGGGAACAGGCGTCCGAGCGCCCAGCCGCCACGCCAGGCAGAGCCCCCTGTGGCAGCTGGGCCCACAGTGACGCCGCCACGGCGGCAGGGACCCGACCAGGGAGCGATCTCACACGGCGCCGTCTCCCACGAGGAGCCCCCACGGCAGGGACGGTGGCAGGGGGACTGTCTCGTGGCAGCGTGTGCTGGGCAGACCGGGGGCCCTGCAGGGGCGGCCGGGAGCGGCCGAGTGGCAACGGGTCACAGCACTTGCACTGGGCAATAAAACATCGAGAACAGTACAGAACGTTTACGGGAAAAAAACACAACTCTTGATAAACTGAACTTCACCTCACCCTTTTGTAATAAAAAATTAAAATTTTCGTTGACTGAACACAATACAGACTAGGAACTCTTCCCCAGACAGTGTGAGAGGAACCGGCAAGAAACGTCCCCTTCTAGAACTTTCTGATGGTAACACTTCCCCTCCGCCCATCGTCTTCAGACGCGGCTTAAGTCCAGGCCCCCCGATGCCCGGCTGGACCGGGAGCCCCCAACACCTCGCTGCTCGCTCCGCGCCAGCGCGCGGCCTCCCGGCGGCCCCGGGCCCGGACCTAGCAGTCGCTCTTCCAGAGCTTGATGGTCTTGTCGTTCTCCAGGGCGGCCGAGGCGATGATGTTCTCTGTCGGGTGGCACGCCGTCGAGATCACAACGTCTGAAAGCCAAGGAGAGTCACCGCGGCTCCCTCCGGGAGTGGGGCCGCCCCACCACCCACGGCCGCGGCCCGCCAGGCACCGCCCACAGCGCCGCCCACAGAGGGGCCCAGGGCGGGCCGGCTCCGCCCCCCCCCCGCCCCCAGCCACCACCGTGAGCCCGCTGAGCTCACCTGTGTGGCCCTGCAGTTTCTGTACAATCTCCTTCGTCTGAAGGTTCCAGATGTACACCAGGTTGTCCTCCGAGCCCGACACAATCCACTGGGGAGAAGCACCGGAGGTGAGGGCGGCCCGCGAGGCCGGCCCCGCCCCGCCCCGCCAGCCCCGCCCAGACCACACGCGGCAGGGGCTTCTGGGACGTGCTGGGGGGGGGGGCCCAGAAAGTCCGTTTTTCCATGAAAATAAAAGATGTTTTTTCACTTTCACCAATAATTTGATTGGATTTGGATTTTCTGTAAAGATTTTTTCGAAAGACTTATTTTTAGAGAGCGGGGAAGGCAGTGAGAAACACCGATGTGCGGTTGGCTCTCCTGTGCCCCCCACTGGGGGCCTGGCCCACGGTGCCGGCTGGCGCCCCGACTGGCTTTGAACTGGCGACCCGGGGGTTCGCGGGCAGGCACTCGATCCACTGAGTCCCACCAGCCAGGGCGGATTAGGATATTCGGAGCATGTCGGCTGTCTCCCGCCGTCGGCTTCCAGCGGGGAGAGGCCAGGGGCGCTGCTACACGCCTCCCACTGCATGAGACGGTCCCACCGCCAAGGGTTATTTCACCAAAACTTCCATAGTACAAGAAACTTCACAAGCCACTTTAGACGTGTTTGATCAATCTGCACAAATCTTTTTTTTGCACTTCAGTTGCATTTTTCCTTTTGAAATAATAAAGCCTAATACGCTGAAAACACCGGGTATTTTCTTCCCTCTTCAATATTAAAAGAGACACAAAAGTTTACCAATTTTCAGTAATTTTTTTCAAACGCACACTCTGATGTGACGCTGTCACAATTAATCTAACAAAACTGTTTCAAACGAAGTTAAAGACAATTAAGCGCGACCAGAGCCACCCTACAGAAAAACCGTCCCGGCCTTACTGGCCGACCCGATGGAACGTTCTCTGACACAGCCGCTTCCTACGTGTCTGACTCCCTCGCACTCCACTGAACGTCGCCGTCTCCTCAGCGACAGGCCAGGGCGCACAGGGCCCGCGCCGGGCCAGGCTCCAGGGGAACGGGCGTCCGCCGTCAGGCGGGCACGGAGCCCACGCCTCCCTGAGCGAGCGCGGCAGGTCCAGAGGCAGATGAGCAACACGGCCCCCTATCTGAGTGAGTCACCAACACTACGCCGTGTGACCTCGTTTTGGTCAAAGAGGAGAAAACTCCCATTGTTCTGCGGGCACGGAGCGCGAGCCCCGGCCTGAGGCAGGCCGCCTCGGGCCAGCGGGCGGGCACCGCGAGCCTCACCTTCCCGCCGGTGACGGAGAAGTTCGCGAAGATGCAGTACTTCTCGTTCTTGTGCCCAGTGTACGTCTTCAGGCACTGCAAGGACAAGGCACCAGCCCCCACTCAGTCTCAGCTCCCCGCCTTCCAGAGAAGCCCCCGAATGCCGAGCGCAGGCGCGGTCAGGCCGCCGAACCGGGACCCAGAACGCACTCCGATCCCGCAGCACCGAGCCCACAGTCACAGCCACGACCTTCCCACCGGCCCGGGCACACCCCACGCCCCTGGGGAGCCTGCACCAAATGCGCTCCGGAAGGGCGGCTTCCCGAGTCCCCTCAGCTTCAGGTCCCGGCCCCGCTCTGCCACCACCCGAAGCCACGCCCGGGAAGCGCACAGCCCGAGCCCAGACCCCGCGGGCGCCCGAGCCACTCACCTTCCCTTTGCTGTAGTCCCAGAGCTTCAGCGTGCTGGAAGGCAGGGGGCGCGTCAGACACCCCTCCCGGGGGCCCGTCTGCTGCCGCCGCGCCCCCTTCTGCTGCTTCCAAGTTTGGAGCGGGGCAGGGGGCCGGAGCCCCTCAGCCCCCTCCAAGTGCAGGCACCCAGCAGGGTGCGCAGTCCAGGGGTTTAAGGACACCCCCAGGCACAGGGCGAGGGCCCCAAACATTTATAGTCAGGGGCAGGCTGTGGGGCTGCTCCCTGTGTGGCTCAGCGGGAACCCCGCCCCTGGCTCCAGAATGCTCGGAACAGACCTCGGTGCCGTGCCCCCCTCCCCCTTGCCCCGGGGCAGAGGTCCCCCGCACGGAGCGGGGCAGGGGTAGGAACGCACCGGGGCCCAGGCCGGGCCCCGTCGAGGGCTCCCACCGTGTGCACAGGGAAGCCAGAGCCGAAGGACCTCCCACGGGAAAGTGACAAACCGACAGGCGACAGGGAACCTCCCAGGGCGTGGGGGGACCAAGGAGCTCGGGGCAGACCCAGAAGGCAGCCCAAGCCAGACCCTCGCCCCCAGACAGGGGCTGGGGACAGGGCTGTCCTGGCCACCCCAGCCCAGACATAGGCCCGGCCCGGCGGCCGTTTGCTGCCGGTGGGAACCCGCTCCCCAGCAGGTGGGGAGACAGGAGCACTTACTTGTCCAAGGTCGCAGCCAGGATGTACTTGCCGTTGGGAGAGAACTTCACGAAGGACACCGGGGGGTTGTCATCATCTGCGTGGAGACAGAGGGGCTGACGCAGGGGCCCCGGGGCAGGAAGGGAGACGCCCCATCTTGGCTCAGGACGCGGGGGGAGCGCCGCACCTCCTGCCACCTGGCCGCTGCGCCCGACCGCCTGGCGCTTCTCCAGCCGCGCGGGCTCTGAGGGCACAGGGCCTGAGCGCTCCTGGGCGGGAGGGGGTGGCGAGGGCTGAGGGGCGGCTCCGGATCTAGTCCCCGCCGGAAACCTCCGCAGCCGCGGCCCGGCTGAGGCTGGGACTCAGACACGGACGGGCAGCCTCTCCGGCAGCGGCCTCTCACGGTTTCGGTTTCGGCCGAGACGCCCGAATGCCCCCGGGCCCGCCTCCTCCAGGGGGTTGGCACTCCGAGGGCCGCCCAAAGGGAGAAGGGCGCTTCTAGCTACAGGACAGCCCCGTGACTCACGTCGGGAGGGGATCCCTGCCCCGGGCGCCAGGGCCGGGAGCGTGCGCCCCGCGGGAGCGGGGAGGCTGCGTGCCTGGCCCCAGGGGAGCGGCCTGGCCACCACACGATAGGGCCCGCGCTGCCCACTGGCCCCAAACCCCGGAGGAGGCGGCGGCCCACAGCCTGCACGGTCCCAGGGGCCGCAGGGGAAGACCAGCCACGCCCCTCAGGTGGGGCGTGGCGAGGGCGCTGGCAGCCCTGACCCAGGCCCCTGAGCAAAGCACCACCGGGCCTTGTCCGCACGAGTCCAGAAAGCTCCAGCTCCCAGGTGGAAATGGGGAACGAGACCGGGGACCGCCGCCCCCTTCCAAGGCTCTGGCTCGCCCCCGGCCTCGGGTTGCTTCACCAGCCTCCCCGGCCAGGGGTTGCTGCCCAGCTGTGGGGCAGCCGAGGACCCAATGGAAACATGACAGGGCTCGAAGCGGGGTGGGCGCGTCATGGGGCGGCGGCGGCCGCACCCGGCCTCTGGGGAGACAGCGGGGGATGTGGCCGTGGGAAGGGCGCCCACAAAAAGAGTGGCCCGTCAGAGCAAGAGCCGCACAGGCCACGAGCAGGCAGCGTGGCCCGGGGGACCCTCTGAGGACCCCGAGCTGGGGAGTCAGGAGGGAGCCAGTGGGGGGCAGGGGGTGAGTGCAGGAGAGGGGCCCGGGCAGGCGAGAAGGGCTCCCAGAGGCACAGGAGGCCCCGGCGGCAGCGCCGCCCCCGCAGAGCGCCCCCCGCCCCAGCTGCCCGCAGGGGCCCGGCGGCAGCGCTCACCGATCAGCGTCTTCAGGCACTGGCCCGAGGCGGTGTCCCAGATCCGGCTGCAAAGCAGAGACGGCAGCAGGTGGTGGCGGGGCCCCGGGGCGGGACTGAGCGCCGGCCCACAGCACACGCGAGCGCACCGCTGCACGCCGTGCGCTCGCCCAGCAACCCGCCCGTGTCCTGGGGCCCAGGGCGGGCCAGCATGCATGCCTGGGCCACGCATGTCCATGTGGCTCTTTGCGTGCTACCTGTCCATCCTCCTGGCCGAACCGGTGGTGACCACAGGGGACTTAGAAGGGATTTGAACCCGAGCCTGACCCGCTGCCCGGGGCTCGGCCGCCAGCAGACACTAGCCCGCCAGGGCCCCGGCGCCTTCGCGCCTGTCGCTGGCATCACCCACTCCCACTTGCTTCACTTTTAACAGGAACATGTTTCTAGTCACACCTTTCGGCCACGGGGCTGGGGACCCAGCCGGCGGCAGCTCCGTGCCACTGCCTCCCAATAACCAAACGCGGGACACTGCCACCCCTAACCCCACCGCCGCTCGGCCCGCACGGCCCTGTCCCAGACCTGGCTGCGTCCGCCCAGCGCCCGCCGCCCAAACCCTGCACATGCGCCATGCACCCCCAGCGCCGCAGCTCAGCCCGAGGCTGCACAGGGCCCTCCGCCCGAGGCCCCGTCCCTTGGCCTCCTGCACCCCCGCGGCGGGATGCGTCTGGATGCGCCCATTCGTGACTGATGCTCCCCCAGTGGGACACAGGGAGGGTCAGCTCTGGCTCCTCGGCGGTGAACTTGGTTCCTTCCCGCCCCCGCCCCCCCCCGCCCCCGCCCCCCCCCGCCCCCCGCAGGGCCCATGCGCCTGGTGGCGTCTCCGACGGACTCAGCCTGGCCCAGCCTCATGGGGGGGCCCCTCCAGGGGTGGGCACCCTCCCGGCCTCTACACCAGCCGTCTGCCCCGGCAGCACCTCCCCCCCAGGCTGTGCTCCGGAGGGTGGCACCCCCCTGCCAAGTGCCCATGGCCTCCCAGGGGCCCCCAGCGCAGAGGGCGCAGAGGCAGCCGTCCACATGCTCTCGGCGCGGAGCCAAGAAACCCAGCTTCTCTACTTACCAGAGCCCGTCGTAGCTGCTGGACACGATCAGGGACCCATCGCGATTGAAATGAACCTGAGGGGCAGGCAGGGGGGAGGGGGAAGAAACTTAACTTCCAAACCGCGGCACCGGCAGCGCCCTCCCTGAGCGGCGCCCCCGCCCACCCCGCATCCCGCTGCCCCGGGAGCCGTAGCTGGTGCCGGCCCGAGGACCCTCCTCGGCCCACGGGCAGCACGGGGGACAGCCCCCTTCCCCTGGTGCCTCACGCAGCAGTTCGTTTCACTACGGAACACAAATGGAAAGCCTGCCTGCAGCACGTCCGGACAGCGAGGCCCATCGCGGATGGGACATCCTGTCAAACCAGACGAGGAGACGCGGGGCTGCACTCTGGCCAGGGAAGCCCGGCCCCGGGGGCCAGAGACGACCCCCTGCCTTCTGCCCTGCCCCCTGCCTCCCTCACAGAAGCAACAAAACGGGGTGGGGGGGAGGCAGGCAGGCGCAACGACCTTCCTCAGGACGGGCCGCGGCCCTGCTTGCCACCAGGAGCCTCGAGTCCCCGACACCTGGGCCGCTGGGGCCGCTGGGACACGGGGGCCCCCTGCATTTGCAGAGGGGACGGAAACAAGGCCCAGGCTGCCGATCCTTGGAGCCCGGAGCTGGCGCGGCCCCACAGAGCTGCCGCGCAGCTGGCGGCCCGTCCCTGAGCCAGTTCCCCGGGGGCCCTTCCCCTCTCTCCTTCCTTCTCCCGCCTGGACCCTCACGGGAGCACCAGCGCCGCCGGGCCAGTAGCTCCGCCCGCCGTGCGAGCCCCTGGGTCTGCCTGCGCCCGGGCTGCTCTCGGCCGGACGCGCCCCCAACGCCAGCTGCGCCCCAACACCAGTTGCGCCACTCCCTGCGCCGGGGCCCCAAGTCCTACGTCCCGGACCCGCGCCACAGCCGCAGCGCCAGACGCGTCAGCCATGCCGTTCTCTGCTGCGGAGCCGGCCCGACCCACAGAGGCCAGCGGCGTCCAGCTGGGACAACCGAAACTGGCCTCTGCGCACAGGGCGCTGGGGGTGCGGCTGCGCATCCGCTGGCAGCTGCCGCTGCCAACACCTAACGGGGAGGCGCCCCGGGCGGGTGGCACGGGATCCTGGGCACCTGCAGTGCTGCTTCTACACCTGCTCGATGTGAGGCTATTAACGAGGGACTTCCCACAACTTCCAAACCAGAAAGCGGACTTGAGACTCACAGGGGTCTCACCTGGACTCGGTGCTCAGCGGCCACAGGTGGCGGTGGCCCGGGAGCCGGTGGCCTGGCTCTGGGAGCCTCCCAGCTGTGGCCCAACTGTCCTCCGCCCCCAGCAGCCTCATCAGCCAACGGCCTTTGGCGCCACCAGCGCCTGCCGCCGCCCGAGCCCAGCTCGGGTGTGCGCGCTGACCCACAGCCATCCCGCCGACCACATCCCCCTGTAGCTCTGAACGCGCAGAACATTCCTCCGTGGAAGCTGCTAGGCCAGACGCTGAGCAGACACAGGCCCCCACACCTGCGGCACCAGTGCCACACTGCCCCCAGCCACGTGCCAGCATCGCTGCCGGCAGGCATGGCCTCCCCGCTCGGCCGGCGCGCGCTCAGGAGTCAGAGGGATGCCCGTGGGGACAGCCGGCCCGGCAGCGGGCACGCCGTGCTTCAGCTCCGACAGAGCGTCACTCGGAGCCTCTGCAACGGGGGACCCTGGAGACGTGGCTCGGGCACAGGCTCCGAGGCAGGACACGCTTAAGACGAGGACGAAACGCGGGACGAGAAGGGCGGGCAAGAAGCCTGCACACGCGGGGCTGCGCGAACGCCGGGGCACCTCTCTGTACGTGACCGCCCAACCGCTATGCCACCTACCTGAGACTAGCACAACATGACCCCGAACGCCAACTGCAACGGAAAGAGATGCAGTTGCTGCGGAAGCCCAGGCAGGAGGCCGGGGGGGGGCGCGGGGCGGGAGCCCCCGCGCACCCATGGGAGGCTTGGCACGCGCCCTGCTGTTCAGACACACGGCCCACTGCGCTCCCGGGGGTACTGGCGAGAGGCACAGGGAAGCGGCCGCGGGCGAGCGGCGCTGGGGCGCGGGCCCGCCCGGACGGGGACACCCAGGCCCGCCTGCAGGTGGGCGGCGAGCCGCCACGGGGGCAGCCTCACTGCTACTGAAGCGGTGGCCGCGCGGCAGCGGATTCGGATCTAAACCCCAGGACGCCGGGCAGAGCCACTCCTGCTGCCCCCCCACCCCCCGCAGGCTGGGAGCTCGGGGGCGGACCGGCCATTGGCCACCCATCGCTTTTGTAAGACACAAAAGCGTAAAAAAAAAACCAAAAAAACAAAAAGAACAACACCCCTTAATACAAGGCCCCACCTCTGAGGGAGAACTGCTCTCGACTCATCTGATCCTGATCCTGCCCCAGTCCCCCCAGTCCCCCCAGTCCTCCCAGTCCCCCCAGTCCCCCAAGTCCCCCCAGTCCCCCCAAGTCCCCCCAAGCCCCCCGTGTCCCCCGCAGGCCTGCGATGGCCGGCCAAGGCCAGACCCCAGCAGCACGCCGCTGCACCCCGCGCGAGTCAGGGTTTGGCTCCGTCTCAGCCGCGCAGCGCGGCTTTTCAAGGCTGAAGATGCTTATAATCACGGCCCACGTGCCCCGGGGGGCGAGAAGGCCCACCTGCTCCGTGACGCGGAGCCAACTGCGCACACGTGCGTCCTCCCAGGGGCGGAGAGCCCACCTCCCGCTCCTCGCCTTCGCTGACGGAGGGGACCCCGGCCACGCTTCCCCCGGAGCGGTGCCGGGCCCTGCGCAGCGACTGTCGGGCGCCCGCTGTGCACACTGCTGCCATCCGCGAGACGGCGGCAGGGCTCGGACCACACGCGCCGGGCGCCCACGGGGCCCTGCCAATCAAAGCGATGGACTCCACCTGCCCTGCACGCAGCCCCGGCCACACTGCCCGGGGCGGCTGCGCTCCCAGGGTTGGCAATCCCGGTCCTGGAGGTTCCGTTTGGGCCAACCCCGCACACGCGCTGCAACCACCTGCCCTTCCAAGGGACTGCGAGGTCACCCTGGGTCCCCGCGCCCCATCTCTGGTCATCGCTCTGTGCTGCCGGGCACCTCTCAGGAGTGGACAGCAATGGGGGGGGACTCACGGCCGAGACGGGGTCCGAGTGCGCCGGCAGGGTCTTGAGACACTTCCCCGTCTTCACGTCCCATATCCTCACGCTCTCATCGAACTGGGGACAGAAAGAGAGGTTAAAGCCATTCCCGGGGCGGGCGGGCGGGGCGGGGCAGAGCCTCCAGGACCAAGCCCTGCCACCACGGAGCAGCCCAGAGCAGCCCAGAGCCAGAGCCCAGAGCCAGAGCAGCGGAGCGACGGCCCCTCCCCCGCACCGCCGCCCCCTCCCCCCCAGAGGCCAGCGCACTCACAGAGCCTGAGACAATGAGGTTGGACTGTGGGTTGAAGTTGCAGCAAAAGACATAGTTACTGTGTCCCTTCAGGGTTTTCAGACACTTTCCCTGAAATGAAAGGTCGTTGGATCGTGAGCCCCGGAGGCCGCCTGCCCAGCGAGGCCGGCCTCCAGGGGGCGGCCCAGAGCACCGCGTACCGAGCTCACGTCCCATATCTTTAGGGTTTTGTCATCTGAGGCAGAAACAAGGAGGTTAGAATCCGACGACCAGGCTACATCCGATATTCCCTGGGGAGAAAAGACAAAGGGTCACCATCTCGATGGGACAAAACACAACCAGCCCGAAAAGGTCAAGTCCCCAGCATTCAACTCCAGACAGACAAGCAGGCATCCCACGTGTGGGAAGGGCAGCAGATGGTGTGACCACGCATGAGGTGCCCCCCGCGGCCCGGGGCAGGGCCTGCGCCCCGCCGCCCCGCCAGGCCCCGTGGACCCCAGTCCAGAAAGCTGGGGCCTAGGCCCGCACCCGCGCCCACTCCCCTCCGCCCGTGCGGCTGGCGCACACTTCCTGCCTGCGTGACTCTCTAAACAAACTTTCACTTGTAGTAAAAAACAAAAACAAGTAACTACCACAAAGAACAAAGAATTTGGGGGGGGAACGCGGTATCTCGGCCCGGCGGGCCCGGGAGAGGGGCCTGCGTGCGGCCTGCGCGCAGAGCCAACACCTACCAGCTTGTGACCGGAGATGGTTTTCTCAAATTTCCCGTCGTAGGCGCCCCAGATTTTAATGAGTTTATCTGCAGCTGAAAGAGAGGAGCAGCCAAGCCGCGCTGTCCAGGCACCCGGCGCCCACCGCCCAGGCTTCCCCGCAGGGGTGACGGGGGACAGTGGGAGGCTCCCTGGGCCGGCCGGCACCCTGCCCGCTCCCAACCCGCTCCCAACCCGCTCCCGACCCTGCCGCTCCCTGAGGCAAGGGGCCCAACCCAATGGGGAGGGGCGTCTGCACAGTTAAACCCACAAGCGCCCAGAGGGGAGGGCACCTACACGAACTCGCCAGCCACTCCCCGTTGGGGCTGAACTTGACGGAGGACACGGCCTTCGTGTGGCCGGCCAGCGTGAACTTCAGAGCGTAGTTCGGTTTAACAGGGGTGGGCTGTTGAAGAGACAATACTCATCAGCGAAAAGCAACCGCCGGCGCCACCCCGTGCGACGGGCTGCCAGTCTGGGTGTAGTTCCCCAAACTGAATGTCCAACTCCGATCTCCATCCTGGGCCCCAAATCAGCGCCAAGCGCCTGCCCGAGCCCCGTCTGTGATTGGGTTTTTACCTGGAGAAGTCTAAACCTGAGCTCCTACCCCCTCCCCGCTGCCTGCAGGGTGTCTGCAGACCCGCCCTGGCCCTGGCCCTGGCCCTGGCCCTGGCCCTGGCCCCGGCCTCAGAGCTGTGGGCGGGGTGGGGGACTTCGGAGCAGATGCCCTGGGTCCTACAGAGACTCCACAACTAGGACCAAGGTGCTCCACGGTTGCTAAGGCCCCCACGAGGGACAGGCCTGGGAACCCACACACGGGCGGTGAGACCGGGAAGCTCTGCTGAGGCGGCAGGACAGGCCGGCGGGCCCGAGACACGCCCAGGGGCCCGGCGGGCAGGGCCGCTGCAGCGCCCGGAGCCCAGGACTCGCCTTGCTCTGCGTGGCCGAGGACGAAGGGGTGGGCTGTGCTCTGGCCGCCTCCGTCTCCGGCTTCTTCTCCTCCGTCGCCATGGCTCTGAGGCCCACCGGGCAGGGCAGGAGACCAGGTAAGAGGTCCGCAGCTCAGACAGAAGGCTCACAGTGGGACGGACTCTCTACTCACCGAAACCTCCAGTGGGACACCTGGGCCAGCAAGCAAACCATGTTTCAAAAATTAATTTCCAGGAGAAAGGAAAAAAACCGTTCGGCCACCTTCCTGAGCTCGGATGCACGCTCCACATCGAGGGACCTAGTGATCGACCTCACTCCATGCAGACGCTTCTCAGACACTTTGCTGAGACGCCTGGCCAGGCCCTTCTGTGACCGTAAACGGAGACCCAGCTGCACAGGATTCCCCGCACTATGTCGGGGCATCCGCAGGGGCGCGGCGCGGCACAGGCAAAGGCAAAGGGACGCAGCTTCCTCCTACGAGCCCTTATCCACTAGAAAACCAACCATCACTTTCTTGTCAGGAAACTCTCAAGCCAAGTTACAGGAGACTGAGCTTCGGGGTGTACGGGCTTGGGAATGTATCCAAATCCCCAGAAGCATCCCCAATGATGCAACCTCGCCAACAGCAGTGCTTGGAAACACGCGAGCCCCGGGCGGTCCAAGCCGCGGGCTGTCACGCCGCCCGGCTGTCGCCCCGTGCCAGCCGCAGACACGAGCTGCCTCCAGAGGGCCGGCGGCTCCCAAGGCTCCGAGACCCGGCCGGGGAGCCTGGATCAGAGCCAGCCCCGCATGGGAGCCTGGGTGCTCTGGGGTCGTCTGCAACCGGGCTGCCACTAGGGTGGGGGGGAGGGGCCGTGACAGTGCAAACTACCCAGAAGCTGCAGGGTAAGCGGCAGTTGGCGACCTGGATACCTGCAGCACAGACACACACTAGGTGGCTTTGAAACCGGGGCGCGTTAGTCAGAGGGGTGCCACCAAGCAGACGTCATTGGCCACCCAACTCCCAGAAGCTGGGACCACCCTCAGTGCGTTTACACAGTGTAAATTCTAGTCTGGAGCTTGACACTAAAGCCGGCACAGGCTCAACGTCACACTGGAGTGAAATGGAGGCCACCAAAAAGAGCACGTCTCCAGGCTCCATCCAAACAGGCAGAGGAACGCTGACGCCAGGCAGCCGTGCACGGCCAGCCGGCGTCCAGCCGGCGTCCGGTCACATGCAGTGGGGATGGAGCCGCCGACCAGAGCAGGGGCGGGTGCAGCCGGTACACCTGCCAGGGACGTGCTCACTCACAGCTGAGGCTCAGGAAAGCTCCCCGAGAGCCTCTCCTGCGCCTTCCCCTGGGTGGGTTGGGCAAGTCGGGGGGGGGGGGGGGGGGGCCGGGGAGGCACTGAGGGTGGCAGAGGAGGCAGCCAGACCACACAGGGCTGCCAGGCCGGCACGGCGCGGAGGGAGCTCGGCAGGCTGCCCTCTGAGCGACAAGAGCCCTGCAGGGGGCCCAGACAGGTCCTTTTAGCATGAAAATTGAGACCCAACAGGAGGTGAGGTGTGACCACAGCCAACTGGCTGCCCTCACGTGGGGACAAGACAGGATGTCCAGCCCAATCCACCCACACCTGGGGACCGACCGTTAACCCTCAAAGAACCAGCAGGCTTGCATTCTCCATGAATACTCGGCGGTTCGGTGGAACAACTGTTTTGTGGCCACTGAGACAGTGAACAGCGCAACAGCCCCGAGTTGGCTTCCGCAGACGCTGCCTCCTGCCCGCGGGCTACTCGCCCAGCCGCGCAAGGCCAAGCCTCCCAAACCTCGGGCGCTTCCAGGCTGCACGTCAGGGGGGGACCTCTGAGCTCCGGGACGAGGACCAGGCCCGCAGGTGCCGGAAAACAGGTCGTCACCGGGCGGTCCCGAGGAGGCCGCCCGCGGGCAGCGCGCTCTCCAGCCTGGGTCCTGCCCTGTCCTGGCTCGCCTCCCCGCCACGGCGCCGGGCCACCTGGGAGCCGGCGTGGCGCACAGGGCCTATCCGAGCGCCGGGAATTGGACCCGACTGTCTTTTCACATCGCCCAAAATGGGCCTCGCAGCCCGGAATGGAAGTGGGCTGAGGCTCCAGGGCGAGCCGCGGCCGGGGACCCCATCCTGGGACCCGGAGCTCTCGGGCGAGACGGGGCCTGGCCGCCTCGGGCTGAGGGGCCAGCGGGTCTGGCTGGGCGCTTCCGCCGCAGAAGGCAGACGGGGCGTGCGCGCCTGTGCAGGCAGGCAGGCCCTGGGGCTCGGTGGGTCCGGGGGCTCCCTTTGCGGCGACCCTGGAGACCAGGGGAAGTGCAGGCTGATCGCAGAAGTCGCCGTCCCCGGGTGGAGGGCTTGTCACTAGGCCATTGGGAGCGGCCGCACAGGTGAGCGCCCGGGATCCCCGGGAACCGGTGGGGGTCCATGGGGGAAAGGGGCTCGGGGCCTCCGCGGGCGCGGCTCCAATAAGGGGACGAGGGGCGCAGGGCTGTACCCGGAAGGCGAGGCGGCGTGGACGCGCGGGGCGTCTGCACCGAGGGGCCCCGGGGGCCGAGGCCGAGCCGCCGCAGCACGTGCGGCAGCGATGGTTTGGGGGTGCAACGGTGTGAGCCCACCGCGCGTGCCCGCGGGCCAGGCGTCCCCCGCTTACCTCCCGAGCCGTGGCGGGCGAGAGCGGGCGCTCCGGGAGTCGCGCTGGCCGCCGCCTGGGCGGGAGCCGGGCCGAGCTCGACGAGGCGGCGCGGAGCCGCAGTGCGCGTGCGCGCGGGGCCAAAGCGGCGTCGGGGCGGGGCGAGAGCACAAAGCCGGCCTCTCGGAGGGTCGCTACGGGCCGCGGCGAGGGGCAGAATGCCTCGAGCAGGCCAACGCCTTAAAGGAACAGCACGCCGTGCTCGCTTTCTGCTTAAAAGCCTTAACCCCAAAGGTGGCCGGTGCAGGCCGTTCTTCCGCACTTTCTAAAAACTGAAATATAAAGACACGACCACAAAGTGCTACTGTGCCCCTCGAAAGGTCTCAGCCTGTGCTCGTCCTGCAGCGGCGCACCCGGGGAGTAGCTGGCGGGGCCCCAACGTTTCTTCCAGGCTCACGTCCCTCCCTCCTGCGTCGCGCGCCCGGAGCGGCAGCTGACGCGTCCTAGGCATCCAGCCCGGCCCTGGCCGTGGCCATAGCCGAGTGCCTCCCCGAACGCGCGGGACCCTTACCTTCCCACTTGGAAGCGAAGACCCCGAGCCCCACAAGGTTCCGAACGCCGGCTCTGCGCCCCAGCTCTGGCTCTTCCGCAGGGCGCACCCTCTCCTCTCTTGAGCCCCCCCGCAGCAGAGACAGCCTATGGAGCGTGCAGGCTGCCCTGCCGTCTGCAAGGTGATGTCCCTGGCAGGTATCGTCACCTGCAGTTACACAAGGGAAGCGAAGGCCCACGGAGGGGGCTCAGGGGCGGAAGGAGAACCTAGGGGTGCTGTCCTGGCCCGGAGCCCCACGCATTCTCCTCCTGCTGCCCACGTGGGTCTTCGAGTATCGGAGGTGGCCGCGGTCTCCCAGCTCCACGCCCCACCCCCGCCCGCGGGCAGTCACATGCGGTCTCTTATTTCCCAATTAAAAATGGGGACACCGAATATGACACGGGATCCTTTGCACACAAAAGGACACAGCATTTGAAATGGAAATGCCCAGGGAAGTGAGCTGCGTGGTTGCCATAGAGACAGACCGGAAGTCGGGCAGCTGGTCCGGAGCCCCAAAGGGGCCAAATCCGCGTCCCATCCCGAGCCCAGCTGCAGCCTGGCTCCCGCGGCTCTCCGTGCCCTGGAGGCCCGCGCACCCGCGTACCTGGAAGGTCAGGCGGTGACTAAAGAAGTAACAACCAGTTCAGGATGAAGAAGGGCATCTCCCTCCACCGGCCTGCCCTGGTTCCGCCGCCCAACTGGCCTTGTTCAAACCTCTGAAACACAGTCAGAACCTCTAAAACCCCAGCTCGAATCTGTCACACCCTAGTTTAAGACCCGGAGCTGGCTTCCCATTGCCCTCGGTCCAAACCCAAACTCCACCAACCTTGGAGTTTGGTGAAGGGGAGACCCGCCTCCCCCTTCAGCCCAGCGTCACGCCCAAAATGTGCGCCTCAGGTCCCAGCGCCAAAGCGAAGGTGTCACTTCCAGTCCTCCAGCCCCCGGGTGGAGGCCGATGAGGGCCCCGACCCCAGAGCTCAGAACCCAAACCAGACTCCCAGGTAGACTGGCCTCACCTCCCTCCTCCAGGAGATAGAAACTTCCAGTGAAAAGGCGAAAACCCATCTTTGTTGAGTGTTTTTGCCACCCATCCCCATAGTCATAGCTAAAATCCTGGCACCAAATATCACAGTAGGTAAAGCGATTTAACAAGAACTTTAAAAACTTCTCTAGCCATGGCCAGGTTGCCCAGGTGGTTGGCACGTCACCCCGTGACTCAGGGGTTTACAGGCTCCATCCTTTGGCCAGGACATGGGCTTGGGTTTCAGGCCCATCCAGTCAAGTGCGCTTAGGAGTGGCTCTGAGGTCGGTGAACATAGCCTTTGGTGAGAATTTACATATATATATACAGACACATATATATAAATGTGTCTAAGTCTTAGGCCCTGGCTGGGTAGCTCAGTTGGTTAGAGCGTCGTCCTGATTCACCAAGGTTGCAGGATCGATTCCCGGTCAGGGCACATGCAAGAACCGACCAGTGAATAGATGAATAAGTGCACCAACAAATTGAGGTTTCTCTCTCTGTCTAAAATCAGTTAGAAAATGTTGATCAGGCCCTGGCTGGTGGGGCTCGATGGACTGAGCGCCGGCCTGCAAGCCATAAAGATCGACCGTTCGATTCCCAGTCAGGGCACAGGCCTGGGTTGCAGGCCAGGTCCCCAGTGGGGGGCACATGAGAGGCAGCCACACATGGATGTTTCTCTCCCTCTCTTTCTCCTTCCCTTCCCCTCTCTCTAGAAATAAATAAAATCTTCTTAAAGAAATGTTGATCGGATGGATGGATGGTGAGCGGGTGGACGGATGGACAGATGGATGATGAGTGAGTTAAGGAGTAAAAAGCAAGTGCCCTCTTCTTCTGAGGAGAGAGCAGCGTGGCGTGTCCACGGGAGCAGACAGGGGGCCTTTGGTGGTGGCAGAGCTGAAATGAAGAACATCCCCTTCTTAGAGGCCTTGAAGCTTTGGAGAAGCCATGCTTAGTCACCAAGTGATACATATTTCGCAGGGGCAGTGGAGGGCTTTCCACGAGGTGGCAGTGGGCAGATCGCGTGGGAGAAACCCCGATGCCCCTACAGCCGGCGCGGCTGGGTGGGGGAGCACTGGCCCTTTAACAGCCGAGCCCGCAGCTTTGGATTCCGGTGGCAGTTGATGAGTGAGGGTCTTGGAAGACAAGGGACACCGGGGAAGCCCAGGCTCCCGGGCTTGCAGGAGCTGCTCACTGGATTTCCGGACTGGACGGCCAGCCTCGGCTGGGCCGCCGTTCCCGGCAGCTGCGGACGCTGCCTGGAGAGCCCGAGGGTCCCGCCCGCGCAGGTGAGTGGGTTTAGTGTTAAGTTCCTTTTTCCCTGGCAACTATGACGAGACAGCCGGTTTGGGAGAGTTACGTCCCCATTCCCCCTCCCTGGGCTCTGCTCTCCCTTTGTCCACGCCTCCTCCTCCTGGCCCATCAGGACAGGCATTTTGCCCGCCATCCCTGGGTCCCAGTGGGCCACCCCAACCCTGGTACCCAGAAAGCCACCGCTAATCCTAGCGCACTGCCATCCCGTGCCGTCTGCTCCGGCCTCAGTTTCCCAGGCACAGAAAGACCAGGTTAGACAGGAAGAAGGCTCGGCTCTCGGCATGGACTGTGGGGTCTCTCCTCACCGGAGCTTCCTCCCTCCACGCCTGTGTGCAGCGTGGGCCCCCTCCCACGGACCCATCGCTTCCTCCTCGCCCCCCTGGAAAGCACCCTGGCCTGCTTCCCTGCACCACCTCCCTTCATGCGGCGAAGAAGCCACCTTCCCTAAGCTGACCCCTTAGGCTGCCCCACCCAACGATGACCGAGGGTTCAGCTTGCTTGGCCCTGTCTAGTTTTAAAGCTGAAAGCCACTGCCTCCGGCCATCCCTCAGCCTCAGAGACACGGGGACCTGAATGTCCCTTCCCCGAGGTCCCCAGGCTCAGCCTTGGCCTCCCCGACATGCTCCTCTGTCGCTTCCTGTCCCTGCCAGCACCCTGGCCCGCCCTTGCCCACCTCCCCCACTGCTGGGGGCTCAGCGCAGCAGGGACAGCCAGCCTAGGCCGCACTGCCCGCTGGGAGCCGCACAGAGCAGATGCCTAATAAAGACCCTCCCAGTCAGTCCTGGAATGTTTGTTTTCACTCCCTGTTGCCTCAAAGGCCCCACAAGGAACCCCACCTGCCCTGGGCCTGGCAGGCTCGGGCCTGGGGGTCTCAGGCGCGGCCCCCTCCAGGGTGGCCAGCGTGTGCTGGGCACCAGCCAGGCCCGAGGCCGCAGGGCGGCTCGGGGAGCAGGAATCCCTGGAATGCGGTCCCGGCTCCCAGGCCGGGCCCCACCTGTTCCGGTCTGCAACCCCCTCCGCCCGCGGCCGCGGCCTGGGCGTAATCCCCGCTGGCTGCAAAGGCCCGGCTCGAGAGGAGACAGCGAGGGCTCCCGCGACCGGCAGGCGGAACTCAGAGGCCCAAAAAGCCGCGGGATTGTCTCAAAGCTTTTCGATTTTTTTTTTGGTTGGCAAGGGGGTTGGTTTGTGGAGCACTGGTTCAAGGGGTCATTTAAGGAATATAAATTCCGCTGCCCAGATTCCACCTGTTTCTCTGTCCCGTCCAACTATTGCCACTTGTCCTTGCTGTCACGTTGAAGCCCGCGCAGCTGCTCTCCCTGAGCACCTACTGTGTGCCTTCCTCTGCCAGGGGGCGGTGGGTGCAGTCTCCCGGAGCCCCGCCCCAGCTGGGAGATGCTCTGATTTTCACAGACGAGGAGTGTGGAGGCTCGGGAGCCTCGGGAGCCTCGGGGACTTGCCTCCCAGGCGGTGGAAGGGCTGCCCCGCGTCTCCCCCAATCGCAGGGCCCTGTCGGTTTGCGGGCATCATGTCTGCGTCCCCCCACCCCCGCCCGGCAGCAGCTGGGATCACGGCGGCTCTGCCGCCTCGTGCTGCTCGCGCACAGCCCGCTCCACCGCCCCCACGGCAGCCCGTGGCCCTCGGCCGCCCCCTTGGCTTCCACGACAATGAGTTGTTTCTGTGGGAAAATTTCCAGGAGCACCAGGCTGGCTTAGGAGATGGGAACATTCCCCACGGGGACACGGGCCAGCAGGCGGCCTGGGGGCCCCCGCACCTGGCGCTGGAGGGGAGCCCATGGGGCTGAGGAAGGGCGCCCCGAGGCCGCCACCCAGCCCTCGCGTTTCTGGGTTCCCACGGCTCGCTGAGAATTCCCTGACTGAGGAGCAGCCGCCTAAAATAGAACAGCTGACACCGGGGAACCAGGGGCCAAAGTCTGAGGCCGCGGGGCCGGCGCCTTGCTGTCCAGCCGCAGGCCAGCCCCTCCGTCCCTGCTCCCCTCTGCCTGCCCACCCTCTGCTCGCTCCCTTCTTCCTGGGGTTCTTTAAGGGTTTTTAAATCCCCCCGAGAGCAGCCGAGGGCTGGGCACCTGCAAGGACCGTGGTCGAGGCCTCGCCAAGGCGGAGGCTGGCGGGGGCGCGGGCTCGCTCACAGCTGCCTTCACAGGGCAGGCAGAGCCCTGGGGGGACCGAGCCGCAGGCTGAGCGCCGCG